GCTCAAGTGGCAGAGCACTAGCCTGGAGTAAAAAATCTCAGGGACAGCGCCCAGGCCCTGAGTTCAAGCCCTAGGACTAACATTAAAAAAAAAAGAAAAGAAATTCGTTAAAGACCATGAAACTGAAACACATCTGATAGGGTTTCCATAGTGGCCCATATAACTATTAGAGGAGGAGTTTCAATGACAAATCTTGAATAGCCTTCCCTACTTCTCATAGAAAACAGTCTTTTATTTTAGCTAGTATATACATATGTATTTATATACATATATGTATTTATATACATATATATTTATTTATGTATTTATATATATATATATGTCAACTGTGGGGCTCAAACTCTGGCCTGGGCACTGTCTCAGCCCTTCAGCTCAAGGCTAATGTTCTACCACTTTGAGCTACAATGCCACTTCCTGTTTCCTGTTGGTTAATTGGAGATAAGAATCTCATAGACTCCTCAGATCTCAGCCTCCTGAGTAGCTAGGATGACAGTCATGAGCCACCAGCATTCAGCTTAGAATATTTTTTTTTAAACAGAATTGAGATCAGTCATCCAGTTGGAGACATGGGACAATCTAAGATAATACCTGTAGCTAGCTGAATCTCCCTAAATTGACTTAGGACTCAAGAATGAGAACCGATTTGACTTTACCTTAGACTCCAGTATCTAGTACAAGATCTAAAGTATAAGGTACACATATGAAGAAAGGTCTAGCCAACAAATTGTGATCCCCCAGATGTTGCCAAGAAAAATGGCTGAGTTTTCCCTCCAGCAGCGGTTCCGGACTTGCCTGGGTGGCCTCCTTCTGGGAGTGGTCACCTTGCTAAACATGCTGGTCAGCTAGAAAGATGCACTAGCACACAGCATAGCTTAGTACGCCTTGCTATTGAAATCTCTCAGCAAGTCCTCTGTCCCCTCTCACCTAGCTCCTTCTTTGCAGTATTGCCCACTGATTTCCGCAGTGTTCTTTTGCTGGAAGTGTTTTTTTCCCTCTGGAAATGGAATAAGAAAAACCCCTGTAAGATCCCTAGCTGCTAGCTCCCTGACTAGTTACACAGGAAGCTGAGATTTGAGGATTTAATCAAAGCTAGCTCAGGCAGAAAAGTCTGTGCGAGTCTTATCTCCAAATTAATCAGCATAAAGTCAGAAGCTGAGGTGTGACATGGTAGAAAACCAGCTTTGAGTTTAAAAAAAAATCACCATGAGTATAAGGACCTGAGTTCAAGACCCATTACAGAAAAAAGAAAGAAGAAAGGAAGGAAGGGAAGAGAAGGGAAGAAGGAAGGAAGGAAGGAAGGAAGGAAGGAAGGAAGGAAGGAAGGAAGGAAGGAAGAAGGAAAGAAGGAAGGAAGGAAGGAAGGAAGGAGAAAGAAAACACTGTGATAGCACCTTGTGGTCATATTTCTTTCTTTTCTTCTTCTTCTTCTTTTTTTTTCCTAGTCCTAGGGCTTGAACTCTGGGCCTGGGTGCTATCCCTGGGCTTCATTTGCTCAAGGCTTTTATCACATGAGCCACAGCACCACTTCTGGCTTTTTCTGTGATTAGTTGGAGATAAGAGTCTCACAGACTTTCCTGCCCAGGCTGGCTTCGAACTGCAATCCTCAGATCTCAGCCTCCTGAGTAGCTATGGTGACAGGCATGAGCCACTGGCACCTGGCTCTCCCTCTTCTATTTCTTATGATGTCCAATCCAGTCCCCAGGGGAAAAGGTTGTCTTAGACCTCAGTACTTGTGAAATTCTACTTCTCAGTAAATAACACATTTTAATCTTAGGTGCAGTAGGGATTTTGGATCCGTCTTTCTGCTTGAAGTTGAGAATCAAATCCACAGTCCACCTACAGAAATTTGTAGGACTCTTTGACACACAGGCCTGTACCTTTCCCTTAGTTTCATCTTTCTATTCTTCCCTTCCATCTGACCTTCTTCCTTCCTCCCCTCAATTCTAATCTCCCTCCTTTTCTATCCGATAATTTATATTTTTAGTTGCCTTTTAGAGAGGAAGAGGGTTTAAAAAAATAAAGCAACAAGCCAAAAAGCAAATATACTCTCATCCATTCCAAGCCTTGGCTATTTCTAATCACATCACTTGCCTACAGGACAGGAAATAAAAGGCAGCACCACTGTTGCAGCTGGAGTTGCAAGGCAGGAGGAGATGACCATTCCCAGACGGCCTCGGGGCCACAGGCCCCTTTCCACTTCCTGCCCACTAGCTATAAGATACATGATCAACCAAGAGCACGGGCAGGTGTGACATCACCACTAAGAGTCCTGATTCCGGAGTCAGATCCCTCGAGTTCCAATCCTACCTGTTCTGCCGCTCCCATCACCCAGCTGCTGACTTAAGACCAAAAAAAAAAAGAAAAACCTAACCTTTCTTGGTCTTGTCTTGTTTTCCCTCCAGTGCAAATTGGAAAAAAAAAAATATGTTACTGGCCTCCTACAGTCTTTGAGAGGAATGAACCAGTTAAAGTCTGTAAAAGTGACTAGGCCAATGCCCAGGACACAGTAAGTACATGTGGACCAGTAAGTACGGTAACAGGACACTTCTGTTTAGGACATTTCTGTTTTCAAGCAAGCCAACACAATTTCAAGTCTGGGTGACACCAATAATAATCCCCGTAAGTCACTTAATCAACCATAAATCAATTTCTTGGGTTTTTTTGTTTTGTTGTTGTTTTATTTTGTTTTAGTTGTGCTGAGGATCAAACTAAAGGCCTCGCCCATGAGCACTCCACTGCTGAGCTAAATCTCTAGCCCTCAAAGACTGATTGCTGTCATAGCCTTATCTATGTTTGGGTCTCGTTTATAAACTAGCATGGAGTCCAAATCAAAGAGCAGAAATGTTTTCACCACGTGTTTCCTGACTTGCTAGAGAGAAGAGAAAGCAGTGAGGTGAGACAACAAAAATAGTTTTAGGGAATGTACCCCAAACTGCTAATAGAGTTAAGCCACACCTAAGGGCACAGGGGTACACACATTCCCATCCACCTGACTCGGGCACATTTGTCTCCCTGTCCCTCTAGATGGAACACAAACTTCACTTAATGTGTCTGAAAATAACCTCATGAACAGATTTTTGGGACATTTTTTTTTCTTTTTAGTGACTGTACTTGGGCTTGAGCTCAGGGCTGGGCACTGTCCTTAGCGTTTTTCACTCAAGGCTGGAACTCTATGACTTGAGCCATAGCCCCATTTCTGGCTAGTTGTTGTTGTTCATTGGAGATAAGAATTTCAAGGACTTTCCTGCTTAGAACCTCAATCCTCAAATCTCAGCCTCGGGAACAGCTAAGATTACGGGACAAACTGCCAACACCCAGCATCTTGGACCATTCTTCAAAGTAAAAGACTCCAGTATCTACCAAAGAACCACGGGGCTCTCCGTGGAGCACTGGAGGTCCTCATTTACATCTGAGTGTGGAAAGCTGCCACCTCCTCCGTGTGCATTTGAACTGCGATCTTCCCTCCGCGGCTCAGCCGACCAAAGACTGAAGTCCTCGGTGAACAATGATGGCCCCTGTGGGGCCGGGCACATTATCTTCCAGTACAAGGACCCAGCTTTGGGGAGAAAAGCTGGAAAATTCGGAAAGCCGGGGTGCTGGACAAGGCGTGCAATTCTCCAGCCCGAGAAAAACTGGCCACCGACGCGGGCTCGCCTCTTGCCACACAATCACCTTCTCCAGGTCGACGTGGATGAACTAAGTTCCAGCCTCGGCAGGATCAAAACCCACACCCCAGGACGCCTCCACGAACGCCAACCTCGCGGTTCCCCCATCGACCCCCCCCCCCACCCAGGCATGCCTGGCATCGCGGCCACGAATCCAAACGGCACCGATCGGGCCAAGGAGGACCGCAGGGAGGACGGACCCCACCCTCCCCAAAGCTAAGCAGAGACCGGAGAGAGAGAGTGTGAGCCTTGCACACCAGTGCCGCCAGGCCCCGCCCCGCCAGGCCCCGCCCCGTCAGGCCCCGCCCCGCCAGGCCCCGCCCCCAGGCCCCGCCCCGCCCTGCCGCGCACTTCCCGTCCGCGCTGGCCGGTCGAGAACTCTCTTAACTTGACAGTGACACACCGAGCGAAGAGGAAGTGGCCAGAGCCCGGGTCCCGACCTAGCTGGGTGGCTCGGCTTCTTCGTCTGGTCAAGACGGGTCCGTGCCCTGCGGGGCCGGAGGGGTTCGGCCGCTGGCCAGCACGCCACCCGGCAGCAAAGGTTGCACCGGGCGACTGGGCACCCGCGCGGGGCCGGGCAGCCAGTCCTTCCACGCCGCGCCTCACCCCAGAGAAGCGCACCCGCCATCGCACCCGTCCACCGCCGATCGCGCCCGGAGCCCAGCCCGGGGCCGCCGCCCCGCAGCGGCCGGCGCCCTCGCCTACCTGGTTTGACTGGTTTGGGAGGCGGCTTCGACATCGCGCTTCCTGGAGGCCGCGCACCGGGGAAATAAAGAGATAAGAAAGGATCGCCCCTCTCGGGAAGCTGGAGCCCCTGCGGCTCCCCCAGATCGCTCCTTCCCCGGTGCTCGGCTGGGCGCCTCCCTGACCCTCGCCCACTCTCACCGCCGAGCCGTGCGGACGCAGGCCGAGCGGCTCCGCCCAGGGCCCGGCTCCGCCCAGGGCCCCGCCCCGCCCAGGGCCCCGCCCCGCCCAGGGCCCCGCCCCGCCCAGGGCCCCGCCCCGCCCAGGGCCCCGCCCCGCCTAGGGCCCCGCCCCAGCCCGAGCCGCCCGGGTGCGCGCGCCCCGCAGACCAGGAAGTGGCCGCCTCCTCGCCGAGCGCTAATTGGTTTCCCGGCAGGAGGGGGGCGTGGCCAAGCGCCAGGCCGCGGAACCAATCCGTGCTCCGCGTGGGCGCCTCCGCCCAGGCTGAGAGGCTGATCGGCCTGCGCGCTCCTGACGCGTCAAGGCCGGAGCTGGGCTGGAGGGGCGCGCGCACGCGCGCGCACGCGTAGAACCCCGTTGTCCCGAGCCACGCCCCCACCGTGGTAGGCTGGCTCCCCAGGTCTCCCCGGGTCCCCGTGGGAAGGAGCCTCCTCCAGGCGGCCACCCCCCTACCTGCACGGACGTCGGGGGCGGGGAGCTGGGGGCGGGACTGTGGGCCTCTCGGGTCACCTGCGGCCCTGGAGCAGCGCGGCGGCGGCGGGCACGCGCTCGGCCAGCTCAGCGCCTTTGCAGGGCAGGACTCGAACCGGCGTCCGGTGAGTAGCTCCGGCCGGACTCCGCCGCTCCCGGCCGCCGCGATGGGACCCGGACGTATTATTCTCCAGAAGGTTTTAGCTTGCATCTAGAAAGCCCTGTTGGAGGGACTCCCCCACACACACACTGACCCCTTTCCACCCACTCTGCCCCGGGCCTCCTCCCCTGGGACCCGAGGCGCGGCGTCCCCGGGAGGGGTCAGCAGGTGGCATCCTCCGGGAGGGGTCAGCAGGTGGCATCCCCGGGAGGGGTCAGCAGGTGGCATCCCCGGGAGGGGTCAGCAGGTGACATCCCCCGGGAGGGGTCAGCAGGTGGCATCCTCGGGAGGGGTCAGCAGGTGCGTCCCCGGGAGGGGTCAGGTCAGCAGGTGGCATCCCCGGGAGGGGTCAGCAGGCTGGCGTCCTCGGGAGGGGTCAGCAGGTGGCGTCCCCGGGAGGGGTCAGCAGGTGGCATCCCCGGGAGGGGTCAGCAGGTGGCATCCCCGGGAGGGGTCAGCAGGCTGCCAACCTTGCCGGCCTAGTGCTCCTCCTCCGATTCTTCATTTTGCATCGGGGGAGAAAACAGGGGACTAGTGTTTTGAGACGCGAGCTGTGTGCCATGCAGAAGCCGGTGTCAGTGCACGGGGCTGCGTCCCGAGGGGGCTGTGATTCCTCTCCGGGTGTATCTGAGGCTGTTTTCTGGTTGCATCTGGGCTGCCTGGCTGCCTGGGACGCAGAATGAGTCTGTCCCTTCTAGGTGGGCTTGGCGCAGGTTTGCCCAGCTAGGATCTAACGAGGTGAATCTGGAGCCCCGGAGAAAGGCGCTGTGCGTAACCTGGAAATATCATAAGCCAGACTTGTCTATATAAGGGAAAGAAAGCACAATGGACGTGAATGGACCGTGTGCATCAGAACCTGCAGTAAAAGGAAGCTTCGAAGGCCCTGGGTTGTTTTAAAACAAAATGATTCTAATGCAGAGGACAAGGGTTAGGAGGTTTTCAGACTTGGATGGGTTCTGTGTTTACCAAAGGGGACCAAAGGTTAAAAAAAAATGTAGGGGAGACACTGCCCAATTTTGTCAGAATAATGAGAAAAACAATTTGATCAGTGAGCAGTCCTACAAACATTTTACTCTGTTAAAAACAGACGTGTTGAGCCGGGAGAATGCAATCCCAATATTCGATGCATATGCTGTGAAACTAGGAAAATTGAGGAGAGAGGTTGGATTGGGAAAGATAAGGAGAATGGTGGAAGGGGTGACATTGATCAAGAGGCATTGTACTTATAAACTGATCTGTTAAACAGCAACCCCTTGTACAACCATTTGAAGATAATAAAAATATAATATAGAAAAGAAAAATTCAGAGTTCAAGCCCCACGACCGACAAAAAAAAAATGTAGACAGATAGATCAGACATCAGACTGCCCTGTAGAGGTATTTGAAAAACCATCATTTGTTTGCAGTTATCATCTTTCAGTGAATTTCTCTGTTACAGTCTGTAGATGCATCATGCAACCCCCCAGAACCCTCTGTAGCCCAGAACCCAAAATGCACCATGTTTAGTAATGTAATGGATTAGACGTGAAACAAAATATAGAAGCCGGGCACCGATGGTTCATGCCTGTAAATCCTAGCTACTCAGGAAGCTGAGATGTGCGGATCACAGTTCAAAGCCAGCCCAGGCAGAAACGCCCCTTTGAGACTCTTATCTCCATTAACCACTCCAAACTGGAAGTGGTACTGTGGCTCAAGTGGTAGAGCACTAGCCTTGAGCATCAAGAGACTCAGGGACAGGGCCCAGGCCCTGAGGTCAAGCCCCACAATCTACACTCACACACACACACACACACAATATCACAAAATAGAAATGACTCAGGATTTGCTCTTGGCTATGCCAGTCCATTAATAAATGATCTCTGAGGTTGACGAACACTTGGCCCACATGGAAGGGGAATAAATTGTAAATATCCCATGAGATGGAAGGCGAGACATCTGACATAATGTTCGCATGAAGCCGCATATGTTTATAGTGGTGCACATAGACAATCTCAGCCAACAGGTGGTTGAAAAAAAAGAGTTTTAAAAAGTCCTGGTCATAGGCTGCCCTACGTTGATTACATTTGAAAATTCAAGAAGTTTTTCCTCGGGATTCATCATATGTTTTACACTTTGTAATTGATCAGACGTGTTTACTTCATAAGATGTGCTGCATATCTCTTTGCAGCTTAACAACCCTTGACTGAAACTCTTCCATTTTGGTTTCTGAATAGTTTTTGTTGTTGTTGGTTTTTTTGTTTTGTTTTGTTTGTCAGTCGTGTGGGCCTGGGCGATGTCCCTGAGCTCTTCAGCTCAAGGCTAGCATTCTACCGCTTGAGCCACAGTTTTCTAGTGGTTAATTGGAGATAAGAATCCCACAGACTTTCCTGCCCAGACTGGCTTTGAACCTTGATCCCCAGATCTCAGCCTCCTGAGTAGCTAGGATTATAGGCGTGAGCCACCAGTGCCCAGCGATTGTTGTTGTTTTTATTGTTTTGTTTTTATGCCAGTACTGGGGCTTGGACACGATCCCTTATTTTTTGTTACTCAAGGCTGGTTCTTGAGCCACAACTCCAGTTTTAGTTTTTAGGTGGTTAATTAGGAAAAAAAAGACCCTCCCAGACTTTTCTGCTCCATCTAGCTTTGAACCGAAGTTCCCAGATCTTAGGCTCCTGAGTAAGATTATAGACATGAGGCAAAGGCACCAGCTGGCTTTTTAAAATAGTTTTTAAAGAGAGAAAGAGTCAAAGAAATAAATAGTGTGTGATGGGGAGGTAGACTGCCAGGTCTGCACATGGACTTCTTGTGTGTCTGCCTTGTGCATTCAGTACTGTTTCAGGACTTGCTAGGCCCCCTGCCCAGCCCATCTACTCACTCAGCCGGCCTTCTTTCTGCCCTTCCCCATCCTTTCCATATTGTCCTGTGCCCACCACCAAGGTGGTATGCCCAACGTCTACCCAAACTGTGCCCAGAACGAGCTCAGACTGTTACCTGATGTAGAGCTAATGGAACAGGTTTTGATTTTTGGAACAGATAGAAGAAGGAAAAGAGGGGAGGGAAGGAAGACAGAAAAATACTTGCCGTTGACGATAGGACATCCCTCCATTTCGATCTGCAGAATTTTCTAAATAAGTTCTTCACTTCCACTTATTCTGAATTGCTAAGCGTTTCCACCCAGGTAAACCCTGGTTGTATTTCTAGTGCCACATCCATCCTCTTCTTTTTAACCCTCTGACTCACTGATGAGTCCTCTCGTGTGTACGCACAGACGTGGTAGTTACAACAGGGGACCAGGAGCCCTTCCAGTGCTCACAGCCCATGTATGCCTCCTCAGTAATGCAGCAGGAATCGGCAGCCAGCCAGCAGAGCCTGACAGTTGTGTCAGTACATGTGCAAGATCCGTTCTGTGCTCCTGGGAATAACGCCGTCGTAGCCGCAGGAAGAGAGGGAAGGGTGTCCACTCGGTTGATTTTTGTTTCATTTCTGGCTCTCCCTGTGGCTGGCTGGACTGTCACTCCTTCCAGTCTGGGTTGATTTCTAGTACCCAGCGAAGGGGAGGGTGAAGCGATCGCTAAGGCTGTCACCTGTGCTTCAACAAACGGTACGTGAAAGGGGGCCACGTGGGTCAGCTTGCCGTCAGTGTGACAAAACATCTGGGAACATAAAGAAAGATTTCTCTCCATGCACGCTTTCAGCCAGGGTCACGCGGGTGTTTCTGTGGTGTGTGTTAAGGAGCAAAGCTACTAACATCATAAAGACCAGATGAGAGAGGGAAGGGGCAAAGACAGAATATATTTTGTAAGGGCACCGTTGTCACCCCATTCATCCAATAGACCCCACATTCCAACATGGCCATCCCCGCCGGGGAGAAGGGGGTTCACCTCCCAAAGAATGACGACAAGTGCTTTGAGTTGTGTTATGCTAAGGTGACCTGACACTGTAATTTCTTCAGAGAGAGGGAAATTTCATTCATCACCAAAAAAAGAATGATACCATCTCAAGACAAATGCTAGCTTTGCAGTGATGTATCAAAAAAAATAAGAGGCTGGGCGCTGGTGGCTCACGCCTGGAATCCTAGCTACTTAGGAGGCTGAGATCTGAGGATCCACTTCAAAGCCAGCCCAGACAAGGAAAATCTTCAAAACTCTTATCTACTCAGCAAAGGCCAAAAGCAGTGCTGTGGTTCAAATGGTAGAGCACTAGCCTTGAGCAAAAGAAGCTCACCGACAGAGCTCAGGCCCCAAGACCGGCAAATTTTTTTTTTAAAGGGTGGCTATTAGCTTCTCTTTGCCTCTGTCCAGCAGTGATTTTCTTCCTCTTTCACTAAAAGAGGGAGAAAAGCTACCCCAAGAAAAATCCCCGCCTCGGGGTGGTGAATCAGGGGTCAGGAGAGGGAGGTTAAAACTCTGAGCACCTTCCTGTGGCCTGATAACCCCACATCCCTAGAAGTGGTGTTCTTCGGTCAACACTCAGCCCCGAGGACTCTCGGGGTTTCCTGGACATTAGTGGACAGCTGCTCAGCAAGCCAGCTCAAGGCCCTTTACACGAGCAAGTCAGCAGGAACTTCTCCCCAGAGCCCTTGCCACCACCCTTCACTTTCCCTCCCTCCCTCCCTCCCTCCCTCTCCCAGCTGATTCTCCTCACTCAGGACTCTGGTCTCTGCAAACATCTAAATGCAATGCACTGATTTGTGTTGATTTCAGGAAAGGTGCAGAAGACACGATCTTCAAAGTTAATCATGAAAACGTTTATCGTTGGAATCAGTGGGTGAGTAATTTTGCCACAGTCTGTGCCGATGGTGTTTGCATGTGAATGTGGTGAGAGAACAGTTTGAAGAGAGGGCCCCGGGCAAGGTGCTGCCACAGAAGCAAATGCCAAAGCGGAAACACGGGAAGAAGGGTCAGTCGGCCATGTTTGGCCTGATTTTCCATTCCTTCCCTGTATATAACAGAAGAGACAAGGCCTGATAGACAAGTACTTGGACACAGACACATAGGCACTTTCATACTGTGGACGCTTGGTGTCCAGCCCAGTGAGGACAAAAAATTAATCCCTTAATAGGCTGCGCTGGACGTCCCGCCATGCCCCCCCCCCCCGCCCCAGGTGCAGAGAGAGGAGGGCTGGAGGCATCAGGTGACCTGTGTTTCTGGTAGACTCTGGGCTTGGACATTGCCACTCCTCTTAGTGTTTACACTGTGCATTCAAGTGATCACGGGGATCACAAGCAATTGTGCATACGTGCATGTGTACCATCCATACTCCATGTGTCATATTAGACACACTGAACCCTGAGATTCGTTTTTAATCACAAACAAAAAATGACTTTGTTTCAACAGAAGGTCTGTCTTTCCCAGTACTTAGCTTCCTTTCTCCCTCGTTCCCAGCTCATTTCTTACCATTTAGTATAGTACATCTGCCAGACTCCGTGGTTTTGCCAACAGCAAAAGCTATTCCTATGAAGGAAGCTGTATTTCTTAAGTAGTTAATACTGTTTGAAATATCCTTTCTAAAAAGATGATGATGATGATGTGTGTGAGAGAGAGAGACAGAGACAGAGACAGAGAGACAGAGAGAGTGTGTGAGTGAGAGAATCCTGGGCTTGAACTCAGGGCCTGGGTGCTGTCTTTGGGCTTTTTTGCTCAATGTTGGCATTCTACCACTTGAACCACAGCTCATCTTCTGGCATTTTGGTAGTTAATTGGAGATAAGAGTCTCACAGGCTTTCCTGCCCAACCTGGCTTTGAACCAAGATCCTCAGATCTCAGCCTCCTGAGTAGCTAGAATTACAAGCATGAGCCACCAGTGCCCAGCAAAAGATTGCTTTTAAATGTTCGGTGTGTAATGCCTTCTCCTCCTTGGAACTTTGTGTTTTGTCCTGGGTTCAGTGTGACAAATGGTGGCAAGACAACACTGGCTAAGAACTTGCAGAAACACCTGCCAAACTGCAGCATCATATCTCAAGATGACTTCTTCAAGGTAACCGCAAAACTTAAATGACGTATTTGACAAAAATGCTTCATGTAGCTGCGTACAGTGGCACACTCCTATATTCCAGTCTTCAAGTGGCTGAACCAGAGATGTTCACAAATTACTGGCTAACTTGGGCTTCATAGGGAGATGCTGTCTCAAAAATAAGAACTCTGTGTGTGTGTGTCTGTGTGTCTGTGTGTCTGTCATGAGGCTTGAACTCAGGGCCTGGGTACTGTCCCTGAGCTCTTTTGTTCAAGGCTAGCATTCTTATCACTTGGAGCCATAGCTCCACTTCTGGTTTTCTCGAAATTAATTGGAGATAAGAGTCTCATGGATCTTCCTGCCCAGGCTGGCTTTGAACTATGATCCTCACATCTCAGCCTCCTGAGCTGCTAGGATTATGGATGTGAGCCAGTGGCACCTGGCTTTAAAAATAAGAAAGTTTGGTGACAATTTAATTATATCCAACATGCCTTTACTGACTGGTAACTTTTGTACAAAATATAGACTCCATGCAATAATGTTACTTGTCCACCAGATGGCACCATCTGTTGGTGCTGATCTTAGTATCACCAGAAGCATTTAAGACATCTCTTTATTATATAATTGTATTATTTCTGCCCTACACACTATTTTGATGGGTATTTTATTATTTTTCTAGCCAGAATCTGAGATAGAGACAGATAAAAATGGTTTTTTGCAGTATGATGGTAAGTAGATTAACTTATAAACCATTATATGCTTACATTCACTTTCTCTTTCAAACCCAAAGAAATTCACTCTCTGTGAAGACACTCTTAGATTGGCTTAACTATATTGCTGTACCTTAAACAAGTCATTATAGGTTTCTGACTTACCTTCATCTATTTAAATAAGTAAAATCTGTTCTCCAGATTTGTATTTCCAACTGGAAACATGGATGATAGCGTTTCCTCCTCTGCTCATCCCTGGCTCCTGGCAGCCAGCCTCGCCTGGAGGAGACTACATTTCCATGCTCTCAGTTTTCCTTCCTGTTATTCAGAGAACCAGGGAGCTTGTGTGTATTGGTTGGTTTCCTCTGTTTCTCAGAAAGCCCTGTTCTTTCTTTATTTTTATTTTAAAGATGGATATATGTCATTCCTTGGGCAAGATAACACTGTTTTGAATCAAAGCATTTAGGTCCATCAGAAAACATGTCTTGGAAGTGGCACTGTGGCTCAAGTGCTTGCCTTGAGCTGAAGAGCTGAGGGACAGTGCCCAGGCCCAGAGTTCAAGCCCCATGACTGACCAAAAAGAGAAGAAAAGAAAATATGTCTTTTCCTTCAGAGAATGTTGTAATAACATATTATATTTAGTGATCTTATTAACTTTTTTTTGCCAAGCCTGAGGCTTGAACTCAGGGCCTGGGCACTGTCCCTGAGCCTCTTCGTGTTCAAGGCTAGCGCTGTACCACTTGAGCCACAGCACCACGTCCAGCTTTTTCTGAGTAGTTTATTGGAGATAAGAGTCTCATGGACTTTTCTGCCTAGACTGGCTTCAAACCGCAATCCTCACCTCTCAGCTTCCTGAGTAGCTAGGATTACGGATGTGAACCACCAGCACCTGGAGGCTAGCAACCGTTGCTACAGCCGGGAGCACGGAGTTTTATTCTTTTCTTCCATTCATCAAGAAGTTAATGATACTATTTTAGAGCTCGAGTCTTGAGCAAAAAGTTCAAAGACAGTGCCCAGGTCCTGAGTTCAAGCCCCAGGACCCGCACAGACACAGACAAAAAGTATTATGATATGGAATTGCTTTAAAATAACTAAGAAGGAAGTGGATGAGCTATAATTGGCCAATAGCTCATCATTTTTATTTTTGAAGCTGAGGGATAAACTCTTGGAAGTTCACCATGCCTTTCTGCCTACTTTTAAGTGTATTTGAAAATTTCCATAAGAAAATTTCCATAATTTGTTGTAAAGAAGAAAATGTTTTTATTAATATTTTTAAAGTATCACTTAAAGCCAGGCATCAGAAATCACACCTATAGTTTTAGCTACTCAGGAGGCTGAGCCACAGCTCCATTTTTCATATGTTTTTATTCAGAGATAATAGCATCATAGACTTTGCTGCCCCAGCTGTTTGCAAACTGCGATCCCCAGATCTCAGCCTCCTGAGTAGCTGAGATTACAGGTGTGAGCCGCCAGAACCTGGCCCATCATTGTCTTTTATCAAAAGCAACATATTTATACATTCCATGGACCAAAAGATTAATCACAGTGCAATTTAGAAAAAAATTTTTAACTAAAGAGAGTCAAAAATTTTCAAAACTAGCCTAGGAAGGTGGCTTAGTGGTAGAGTGCTTGCCTAGCATGCATGAAGCCCTGGGTTCTATTCCTCAGTACCACATACACAGAAAAAGCCAGAAGTGGTGCTGTGGCTCAAGTGGTAGAGTGCTAGCCTTGAGCAAAAGAAGCTCAGGGACAGCGCCTAAGCCCTGAGTTCAAGCCCCAGGACTGGCAAAAAAAAAAAAAAATTCAAAAATTCATTTGGTTCCAGCCAAAATGAAGAACCCAGTTTCTTTCTGGTCCTCACTTTACCCCTGAACACAGTACATTAAACAGAGGAAAGCTGAGGGATGAAAAGAAGACAGTGAGCAGGACGGAAGGAAGGACACAGGTGTCGGGCCCTTGGGTTTCCTTGTTGCCTCTCATCCCCAGGGTTGGTGCAAAGGAAGCGTGCAGCATAGAGCCACTATAGACATAGACAGAGCAAAGAAAGTGCCAAAAACCTGTTCCTGTACCCAAAGGACCAGCAAAAGAGTGGCCGAGCAGAATAGAAAGTCCTCAAGACGATGCCCATCGGACTCAGCTGACCACAGAGAGAACATCAGGCTCTCTCCTGGTGTTGGCAGGGCCAAGCGAGGTGTCTAGAGCCACCTGGCAGAGCAAGGTTGACGCGTTGATCTCCACATCAGAGATGGGGCATCCAAACGTACTGCACCGGGCAGCAGAGAAGCAGAATGGAGCAATGCTGGGGGGAGGCGGGGCCGCAGGGAGACGCCTTTCCCACCCAGTCATCAGGACCCAGTGCCAGGCTGCGCATTGGCCTCCCTTCCATCAGTGACGCTGAACCAGCCCTCTATTTAATCATTCTCCTCCCCCTAGACACCCCCCCACACACACATACACCACCATCTAATGTGATCAGGAAGCCAAATGCTTCCATCTGATCCTGTGCATCACACCTCAGTAGGCGTGGCATCTAGCAAAGGCGGGCTTGACTTTAAGACAGTGAACGCTAGAAGCAGGAACACTTGCTCTGCACTCTACATTTATACATTTGGATGTCTTTCCTAATAAAAAAAAAACCAGACGTGTAAGTTTGTCAGTGTTAAGAGCTTGAGTTGGTGGTCCTACAGTATTTGTTCTTTGACATCTTGAAGGGAAAATAGAATGGGGCTATTCGTACACTTAAAGAGCCCCATGATCACAAAAAGCTCACGCAAGTTTCTCATCTTGTATGTTTGTCTTAGTACTCGAAGCGCTTGATATGGACAAAATGATGTCAGCCATCTCCTGCTGGATGACAGGCTCAGCACACACAGAGGGACCAATGGTCCAGGAAAGGGCTGAAGAAAATGCCATCTTAATCATCGAGGGTTTCCTGATCTTTAATTATAAGTGAGTGTCTCCATGCTAATACTGACCTGAGTGAGTGGGAAGAGCATTATGAACTAAATATGCTTTTCTCTTAGGCCGTTCGACACCATATGGAATAGAAGCTATTTTCTGACCGTTCCGTATGAAGAATGCAAGAGGAGGAGGAGGCAAGTGTTGAAAGTACTTTTGTGTATCAGAATCACATTGTGGTGGTCATTTAACATACAAAGGAAGTTTAAACTTGCACAGGAGCAAAATGGTTTTTTTTTTGTGCCTGGTGCACCTGTAATTCTAGCTACTCAGGAGGCTGAGATCTAAGGATCACTGTTTGAAGCCAGCCTAGGCAAGAAAAGCCCGTGAAACTCTTATCTCCAATAAACTACTCAGAAAAAAAGCTGGAAGTGGCGCTGTGGCTCAAGTGGTAAAGCACCAGCCTCGAGCACAAAGAGGTTCATGGATAGCGCCCTGAGTTCAAGCCTCAGGACTGGCAAAAATTTTCTTTTTCTTGTATATTATAATTCACATGGAATAAATTGAGTGCAGTACTTCTCTAAGAAAAGGCCTGGGTCAACCTTTTCAACTGATTTCTACTAAGTCTTCAAAGGGGCCAGTCCCATCTTGGTTGTAGTTTGAAGTTAGTGAAACTATGTTCTACTACAGCTACAAAGAACATCAGTTTATCTAGAACTCCATCCAACCCATCAATCGCTCATCACTTACACTGATACTTATCTCCTAATCCTTTTATAAGGCACTAGAAGAAAAAATAATAACATTGAGTGGTGGTATGTAAAAGTAATGTTTAGATTGGAGAAATACATTTTACTGTCTTTCTAACTCACGTTATGTCTAAAACAAGTTAGTCTAAAATCCTGCTGAGATTTAATCTCAGTGATTTTCCCCAGTATGTATTTTGCTAATTGTGTATTTCTATCAACATGAGATTTTCTGTGTGCTTCAACAGTACAAGAGTGTACGACCCTCCAGATGTCCCAGGGTACTTTGATGGCCACGTGTGGCCCATGTACCTGAAACACAGAGGGGAAATGGAGGCCATCACGTGGGAAATTGGTAGGTACCTGTTCACCCTTCACTTAAGGCCCTTGATTGGTCATTTGCCTCAAAGGACTGGGGAATTTTTTTTCTTCCATCTAAGACCTATAAAAGATGCTTCCGGCAGGAACTCTGTGTGTTTCCCTCCTCCACAGCATGTTCTGTTCCTTTCTATTTCTCTCTGTAACTCCTGTCAAAAGTTCACCAACTCCTGGATAGTTATTCATGCATCCACCGTTCACCAAAGGCCTTCTGTGGAGATAGCAGGTGGAAGGCGAGCCTGGTCTATTCTCCTGCAGCTAATTTTCCATAAGGGAACGACACCAAAGATGCCAACTGCACCCTCTGGTCTTCTGCTTGGACATCACACTCTAGGGGCACTGACCAAATCCCACTCGACTAGTTTAGGAAGGCTTCCTGGAGAAAGCCACTTTTAAACCAAACTTTGATGAGTTTAACTGGACAAAAGAGCCGGGGGGGTTTACAAAGAGAAAGCACAAGGAAAGGCCTGGAAGGCCTTCATAGGACCTGAAAGAAAGCTAGCTTGTTTGTGGTAGAGGAAACCCAAGGAGAAAGTTCATGCTGGTAACACCCTACCAGGCCCATATACCCACTAAAGGTTAGGGTCATTAACCCGAGAAAAAGATGAGGAGCTTTCTACAGTCAGGTTAGCAAGGATAGATTGACAAACGTTTTTGAGTAAGATCCCCTGGCTGTGTGGAAGATAGATTTACATGGCTCCAGACGTGTTAGGGACACATGTAATTCATTAGAACTGTGTGATGAAGTAGATGTGGAGCATCTTGGGAAATGAGATGGCAGACACCCAAGGAACGACCAGGTGTTATTTTAGAAACCAAAAAGTGAAAGAGAGCTGGGAAGCATGATCCCAGGGGAAGGCGTCCAGCCATGAGCCATTTCTCCTTTTTCTCCAAAACTGCCTCTATCAGTTTTATTTTCAGGGGCATTTCTTCGGGCCTGGAGAATTGTAACCGAATAGGTAAGTGGCAGGGCCCAGACCAATGCCTGGAGAAACTTCCAGGTCTTTGCAGGGTCAGAGTTGGAGGATTGCAAAATTTCCTTAAGTGGCTCTTTGGAGCCTGCACCTCTTCAGTCTCCTGTGCACATGCAATTTCTCTTTCCTTTCTCTTTTATTTAAATGATTTGCAAAGGTGCGCCTCGATTGTTTTTTCTGTAACAAACCAAAGTTCTTGCTTGATTATACCTAGCTTAGATCCCTGTCTTCCTTTAGTTGCTTTGTATCCTTTTTGATGATATCAGGTGCCAGCGCAAGCCTGTTGACATTGAACTGCTACTTTTCCTCTTCTTAGTTTACTTAGATGGAACAAAATCTGAAGAGGACCTTTTTTCCCAAGTATATGAAGATCTAATGAAAGAACTGGCAATGCAGAAAGGTAAGCATTGCCCTTTCAAAGTCAATGCTGCAGGAGGAAAAGCCAGAGAAAGCCGTTATTACAGACCCAAGAATAGCATGCCAGGGTGCTGGGGAGTGTTCATTCATTGTGTCCATTCATTCATTCTTTCATCCCTTTGAGAATATTTAGACTCAATGATTCCACGTGCATTTGGAAGAGTTGATTATTTTGATTTCAGAACTTGTTTTAAGGGGTGGAACTTTTACCCTTTGCTACATATCTTCGTGATATTTATTTATATCATTTAGATTAAAATTCTAATCGATGGCTGGTCTAATAGGCCTGAAATTATCCATTTGGGTAATTTTCCTTCATTCCTTTAAATATTTTCCTTAAGATTTCTACTTCGCAAATACTTCCAAACACAAGATTTTTAGAAATTACTTGAGTCTTCTTTAAGGTTTTTTGTATTAGAGAGCTCTTCACAAGAGTTTCAACTCCTCCTGCTCCTGCTCCGGTTCCTCCTCCTCCTCTTCCTCCTCCTTCGCTGCCTCCTCCTCCTCAGCCAGGCTATAAAAGGAATGCGCAGAGGTGGCAGTGGCTTCGGGCTCAGCTGGATTCAGGAGCTCAGATGCTGTCTTTGAGGCTCTGCTGCAGTTCCCAGTTCATTCTGAAGTCCATCCACTCAACAGCTGGGAAAAATCTGGCGTCAGCACCTTTCTCCTAGTCCCTCAGCCCATGTGAAAAGACTGCTTATGCTTTTTCAAGCTTGTCCCTGAGCAGCTCTGTGCTGAAGCTGAGTCCCTAGCCCAGGAAGGTTTATCTTATTTTCACCACTTCCTATGGATACAAGTATTTACCTCGCACTCCATTAACTTAGCCACTCGTCTACTTCAGTCTCTAAAATGCTTTGAACAGTCTTTTGTTTATTTTCATGGTGCTGAAAGTCAAACTCAGGGCCTCATGTATGCTAAGCACAACTGCCATCACTGAGCCCTAACTTCCATTTTTAGTTCAGTTAAAAAAAAAAACCCAGATTTTGATTTGTTCTGTTCCGTCACCTGACTTGCTAAACCTACTATGGCTAGGGAAATAGCGCCTTCTTGTGGCTATTTCTAAATCAAACACCCATCTTGTCACGGAAGACCCCGCCCCCCCCACCTAACACCTCCTGATTTTAAAAAGCAATCCTTAAAAGAGGAAGCTGGACAAAAGGTAGAAATTCAAAGATGAAAAAAAGCACGCTGAGGAAACCAAACTCCAGTGCGGCTACCTTGGAGCTGGGTGAGTTAAAATGATTCCCAGGCTGACGGCCATGGTGCGTGCCACTCAATGCAGCTCTGGGAGACTGAGGCAGGTTGATCTCTAATTTGAAGCCAGTCTGGACTAAGGAGTGAGAACCTGTCTCAAAAAAAAAAGATTCCTGTAATCACCAACGGGCTCAAAGGAGACAAGAGGACAATCCGAGTTACTTCAGCAGTGAAAGGTTTTTGGTGAGAAGCAACTGCACTAGTCCAGATGTCATCTGTCAACAAGAACAAAATGACCTACATCTTCAGTGAGTTCCTTTCTGACCAGGAGAGCTGAGCAATGCTGGACAGTCCATTGATTCTTAACGCCCCCCCCCCCGATTTCAGTACCAGCCTTTCACAGAGTCATGAAGCCCTTTGGGAAAAAAATTATAGCCATTTTACCATGGTGATAATTAATAAACCTTGCCTGAGATGTCTGCCCACCGCCACCATCTGTTACCTGAATGGAAGGCAGCCCTTCCGGACTCAGGCCGGGGGACTGACAAGGGGAAGGGGCGAGCACAGGGCTCTGATTTCATGACTGACAGCCCCTGACCCCCAGCCACATATGCAAGAGCTATCAGCTCCCCTTTCTCACCCCAGTGAGAAGCTTCCGGTGTTTCACCTGCTGGACGCTGTACCTCAGTGCTCAGGTTCAGTGCTTCATAACAGTAGGGTTTAGTGCTATGACAGAACGACTGGTAAAGGCAAAAAGAACCTTGGTCATCTAGCACAGGCAAAGAATGTTTTTAGGGTCTGTTCCAAGGCCCAAGAACTGGTGGTACAAGCCCCCAAAGTGCAGTTCTGGGTATGTGATGCCTCTCCTTTTTTCTTACCTGTATCTTTGAGTGAGCTAAGAAATACTCAGCTATGCAATTTAAAACTATCCGGTTCTAGATAGTGGGTAGAGACAAAAAAGAAAAAGAAAGAAAGAAAAGAGGAAGGAGTAGCACCAGGAGAAGAACTTGAAATTGGGAGCAGCTATGCTTGTACAAGATGGACGGGAGTTTCTCCGTTGCATAAATAATTCACTGCGATCTTAGTAACCCGCCACCTTTCCTGTTCTTCCAGCCACAGGAATCTAGCAAAGCTGGCCACAGGATCCTCAGCCCTCAGCAGAGCCTGATTTAACCCTGGACCAAGTTAGCTCCAGTGGCCTTTCCAGGGTTTCAAGTGCTGACTCTTCAGATTTCTGGCATCTCATAGAGCAGCTTGGCTTACAGGCTAACTTTTCATCCCAAATACATCACATTGGTTTAGGAGTATGGCTCAAGTGGTAAAGCTCCTGCCTAGCAAGAACAATGGCCCTGAGTTCAAACCCTAACACCACCAAAAAAAATTGAAAAAAATAACACATCAATAATCATAATTAGTATTATAAAAATACATAACTATATTGTCATCATGATTATAAAGTAATAATAGTGAAAGTGAAATAAGGAAGGTCAAATTCAATTATTAACAAAACAATAATCCAGAAGTAAAAGGCTACGGAGCTGCACATTGAATTCAGTCCTAATTTCAATCTAAAGTTTAAGGCAAAATGTAATCATAACCTATTCTCAAAATAACAAAGCAGTCTAGCCAGTAGGAAGGCTCCTTTTAAAATGGTTCGTTTTCATCCCATTACAAAATGACTAGTTATAGAAGTTCTCATATAAATGCGAAAAAGAGGAAATAATCACCTGAGTCCTCATCAGTAACATTTGGTAAGATCAGTGGCTAATCGGCCATGCTTATTTCTATTTTAAATTAGTATTTAATATTTGTGCAGCCTTACAGAATTTATTATATAATGAAACTGCAGTGTCACTTCCATTAGAAGGTTCGAGGCTGTCTTGTACACAGAAGTGAAATCTAAGACTTGACATTGATATTGTAATGTGCAAGAAAGGTGTCACTTATCAAGTATGAAATCAAAAAAGAAGAAAAGGTAAAATAAAAATTGAATGATCAACTGTTTATAGTTTTCTCTATTAGTACTTTTTGCATTGAACTTTAAATATTTTTAGTTTACTCAAGTACCATAATAGTCATTTTCGCATAAGATTTTTTTAACTAGTTCCCAATCGTTGAATATTTAGTGTCGTTACAAGTATCTTCCATTGACAAATACCTTTAGTAAAGATGAGCTCAAACCAGTATCACCAAAATAAATTTTAATGATTATTTCTTTTTCTGTTTATTCTTAAGGTTTACAAGAAACAGCATGAAAATGAATGTAATCAATCCTTTCTGGGGTGAATTAAAAACTCAAAGGACTATATTTCTGAACCTTAATCAAGATACAGTCTGTACTATGGTACAGTGACAGCTGGTGTGTGTGTGTGTGTGTGTGTGTGTGTGTGTGTTCCTGCACACGCTTACTCACACATAGGTTTTCCAGCATGTTGAACAGCAAGCATCTATCCCAATGGATAGACAGAGCAGAGCTCAGGAATGCTGAGTCAATGCCCTGTACCAGTGATTGTCAAAGTTTTGTGACTGCAATCTAGAAAAGAAATAAGTATATTTCACAATCCAGCACAGATGTAAGCCATGTGTGTGTTTATGTGTATGTGTGTATAGTTGTATACCCAGGTGTGTACAACATATGTGTATGTATACACACACATCAGGAACTGCAAGACATTAATTATATATTACGTACTGATTTTCTTCTAGTTTTAATTTTTTTTAATTAATTAGTACCTCTCACCAAATGCAGTAATCGCATTGCCAGGAATAGTAGTCACACTGACTAAATCAACAATTCACTATAGTACATGTAGTTTTTGTTTTGTTATGGTAGAGTAATTGTTTCTTTTGTCCATTGTATCTCTTATGTTGAGACTTTGCTACAGATAGAAAGGGTTGGTGATGTTTCTGTGATTGTGTGTTGGGGTTTTTTGTTTGTTTGTTCTATGAGATCAGTGGTCTAACACAACAGAAGCAAGCAGTTATTTCACTTACATGTAATACCAGGGACCTTTCTTTGGAAAGATTAGGAAATATAGACTTGAAATTTCTTGATGCCTCTTTCAATGCTGAAATGTAAATTATGTGTTGATCAACCTTTTGTATATTGGAAATAAATAGATTACTTGCAATTGTAAAAATAATTTCTCTTTATTTGTTTCTAACTAATGCTTGTTGATAATCAGGGAGTTCTTCCATTGCTACACAAACCTAAGGCAAACACAAAAACCCAGGCTTTGAATTACAGTTTATCCACTTAACAGCCACATGACTTTGATCAAGCTAGTTAATCTTGATGTTCAATTATGGTTGGCTAAGTGTATCAAGTCTGAGGTCCTTCGCGTGGCTTCCTTAGCTTTCTTTGTCCTGCTACCACGCACCTCTGCCATCATTTCCCATCAGAGTTGGGACACCTGGTCACATTATGACTCACCTGGGCAAAATGAAGGAACGGAGAGAAAAGCAAATGGGAGAGAAAACGAGGGAAGCACTTACCATTCATTGTCCGCCATAGCGCTTTTCTGTGTATTCTGACACACCATAATTTTATCACACTCAGGTTGTGGTGAGGTAAAGTACCAGTGTTTTTAGCATAAAAAAATGTGATGTACAAGTAATTGTTCAAACTTCATTTCTCAGGATCCCAAAGTGCCCTCCTCCCCTCTGCCTAGGGCTACTGATGGATCTTCAGCTGAGCACCATTGCGTTCACTTTTCTCCTTGTTGCAGCCTGGGAAAACAAAAAACTGTGAGCAACAGGCGTTGAAATGGACACATTCTAAGGGGTTAGGAAAGATGTATCTTTTTTGTTTCCTGTTATCAGTGAGAAGTACATCAGAAGTTTGAAAAAAAATGTCAGTGTTTCACAGAAGAAGGACTCTATGGAAGCAGCCAGTGGTGATACAGAACCTATTCAGACAGTCAGTATTTAACAAGGAGTAGTCTTTACGTCTCCATCCTTTTTCAGATGATTTTGCTGCAGGAAGGCTTCTTAGGTAGGTTCTTAGAATTAAACCCAGGAGGGAAACATTTAAAAGCAAGCACACCTAGTAGGCTGAAGGCTGAGATTCAAGCGCACCGCCCCATTACCCTCATGGATGAGATTCAAGACCACCAGTTTGTCTTTTAAGGATAAACTGGCGATACTCCATAGAGCCATAAAACATTGGAGCAGTATCAACTGCTTCAGTGCTGTTCTAAGTGTAGAAATGGAAACCAGAGCCGGTGACCCGTCCAGCACCATCCAGCTGGCTTAGTGCTGGGATCGGGGCCAGGACACAATCTCACCATCGGGTTGAGAGGCATACATTTTTCATTTTAGAGCAAAGAAGAGTAGAAAAGTAGAGTGCTGGGATACATCATCTCCCCCTCCCTCCTCCTCTGACGGTTGCAAATCAAGAAGCCTAGAGAGGCAAGAGCTGTGTCAGGAGAAAGCGAGGCGTTCTCGCTCATCTCAGGGCTGAGGGAGGTAAGCCAAAGCCTTAGGTGAGCTGCGGGCCAAGCAGCCGTGGGACAACTCCATGGCCCATCCGGACTGTGCTGACCTTAGGTCTGCGGCTCCTGATTTTCCTTCAGTCCTCCATGAGCAGAGGCGAGCTCAGACAAAAGTCAAGATGTGGAAAGGGCAAGAGAGACATCGCTCTTCCCTTCTGCATGCACACGGAAGAAGATGGGAATTGTATTAGCTCTTTTGGGGTTCTAATCAAGATGACAAGACCTGTGACAAGAGGATATAAAAGTTCTTTTAAAAAACTATGAGTCTAGAAATAAGTCATTAGTGCAAAAATAGAGACCGATGTTGAAAATGAACTGTACACATTTTCTGTACTCAGAAATATTGTGTTCTTTTTCAAAATGTTTTGGGCTTTCTTGCAATAGTTTTTGAAATAAAATCTATTTGTCAGCCTTTCTATTATTAATAAAAACATTTAAAAAAAGAAAATGAACTATACAACTCATGGTGGGGGGAGGGGGGAGACTGAAGAGGGATCAGGAAGGAAAAAACGGGGAGAAAAGAGGGAAGAGATGACACTGTTCAAAAAGTACCACCCCCCCCTAAAAAAGAGACTTGCCCAACGTGTGGCTCAAGTGGGAATTTGCCTAGCAAGCTAAGGCCCTGAGGTCAAACTCCTCTACTGCCCCTCCAAATCTTAGAAACATGAGTGCACTTATCATACGTTAAAATGAGGTGCCTGTCATATTGGATCAGGGTGTGTTGGAGTGAGGTCCTTGGGCCAAGCAGAGGCCAGGGGGGTGTAGCAGAGTCTAGGGCTTACAGATAGATGCCTAGGGGTGCTAAGGGAGGTGGAGCTGTCAGACACAAGATGAGGCAAAGAGAGGCCTCCCCAAAATGAGGAGCGTGAATCTGCTGTGAGCCACCGAATTATGGTCACCAGATACAGCAGCCATAGGCAAAGAGCCTTTTCTTACCCACTAGTACCCCTTAGCTGTGATTTCTCTTTCTGGAGTTTCAGATACAGATGGTTAGGCAGACTCCAAAGACACTAAATGTACGATTCCAGAGATGAAACAATTCATTTTTCTCTGTGTGTGTGTGTGTGTGTGTGTGTGTGTGTGTGTGTGTGTGTGTTTGAACTTAGGGTCTCAGCCCTGTCCCTAAATGTTTTTGCTCAACACTAGCACTTTACTACTTCAGGCACAGCTTAACTTCTGGCTTTGGGGTAGACAATTGGAGTTAAGAATCTCGAATACTTCGCTGCCAAGGCTGGCTTCCAATCTCGCTCCTCTGATCTCAGCCTCCTAAGATCAATGAAGATTACAGACAAGAGCCACCAGCACCCAGCCATATTCCTTAAAATAGAGACTACAACTCACATCAAGAAGAAATTCTTCCTGATTTTCCCCTTCAAGCTTTGAGTGGTTATGCAAGAGTTTCAATTCCACATGTCTTGAGTACACTGCCTCTTGCTTAAGGTTAGGCTTTCTATCATTCCCCCACCTCTCCCAACCCTATCCATCTCCTGGCTCCATTTTCACACGTATGTGAAAAAACAGAATTTACCATCTATTAATCTGAAGGTTATATGCAAGGTCTCAAAGGCTCCATAAGGAAATAATCTAACAAAATAATGCCTTAAAATAATGCACAGTACTTAAATCCTCTATCAGTTGCCAAGTCACTTAAATTTCTTTTTTTTTTGGTCGGTCATGGGGCTTGAACTCTGGGCCTGGGCGCTGTCCCTCAGCTCTTCAGCTCAAGGCAAGCACTCTACCACTTGAACTACAGCACCACTTCCGGTTTTCTAGTGGTTTTTTGGAGATAGGAGTCTCATGGTCTTTCCTGCCCAGGCTGGCTTTGAACCGTGATCCACAGATCTCAGCCTCCTGAGTAGCTAGGATTACAGGCATGAGCCACCTGTGCCCAGCTTAAATTTCTGTATTGACTCAGCTCAAATACAGATTACAACTACCAGGATTCCTTTATTTTTTTTTAATCAGAGAGCTAAGTAAAACTTGTTAAGATTTCTTAATGGTCATATGTTACAGTTTTAGACAAAGAAATATTGTTACATATTTATCAACTATACTTCCCCCACATAATATAAAGTTCAATAATTTTGTTAAGTGTTTTAAGTTGAAATTATTTCATGTTGTTTCCTGGATACCAAATACAGGAAGTATGTTTGGACAAGATAGAAATGTTTTAAGTATCAAAGGTAATCTAGTCTAGGAAAATAGTTAATAAGTGTTGGCTTTTCTGATACTGTAATCGCCTTATAGGTTGTATTTTAAGTATATCTACTTCTCAAGTAAACATCTTAGATTTTTTTCCCATATTTTTCTAATACAGATCTCAAATTGATTAATATTCTACTTCATCTGATAATGTATTCTATCCTTATATCTTTAAAACCTAGTGACCTGGAGAAACTGATATCCTGTTTCTCAAGCTCAGCATTCAATGGCGATTGAATGTGGATAACTCATTGTGAGTACTGCCTGTCCATGGGAGAATATTTATTAACATCACGGCTCTCCCACCAACCAACCTGAGCCAGCTGGCCCTCCTCTTCCCCTTTAGTAGTGAGAGCTAAAAATGGGTTCAGAAGACAAAAATCACCACCACTACTGATAAGGATACAAATTAAACTTGTCCAGTAGAGATGAAGTGATCTGGAGGAAAGACCATCCTAGAGGTTACCATTCATCAGTCTATACATTAACCAATTATGTATTAAATTAACCATCTCATGGAAGCATTTTTTTTCAGTTGCCATAAATGCTTTACTGCCTCTGAATCTCTCTGAACCAGTCTTACCATCTTGTCAGTTCCCTCATTAACATATTAAGTACATCTTTGAGACATGCTTCACTTTATATTTGTATGAGTCATATTAAAAATATAATTTTGACAGCACTTTATTTCCCTGACTTTATTTAATCCTTATAACAAATATATAATTATGACATGTTAGGTGATAAAATCACCACCCAAAGTTATACCTTTGTTGGAGCTAAGTCTGGAATTCAAGTTTTTATGGCTCAGAGAGCTCTCATCTACCATGCTATACTATAATGAGACTAGACTCTAAACTCTGTGGCTCAGCGTGTCACTTTGGCTTACAACTACCTTGCAATTATACGTCCACTATTGTTGGCCATTCTATTTGTATACTACAAAGGAGCTCCAGAGTTCAAAATGTAAGAATCATTCAGAGAACTTTCCTAGGTAGACAACCAGTGAGGGAAGCTTTGGCATAGTCTAAGCTTATTTCATTATAATATCACAGACTCCATTTGGTGGTACCATTGGCATGTATTTTGGATAATCTTAGGGGTTATTATTGCTTTGGGTGAATTGCAAATACATGGTAAAGTAATGTTTATTTCTTGCACCTTTATGACAATCCACAGCCAAACATAT